TATAATGATAGGAATTCTTCCCCATTGCTGCTGCTCGGTTTCGTATCGACTTCGATAGGCACGGCATCAGCAGAACCGACTCGGCAAGTGCCCCCAGCGATAGGACGAGTTTGCGGGAACCTCTTGCTGCTCCGTTTGAGTGATTTAGACGGCTCACTGAAGTTTTTCTGGTTCGTCTGAGGTGCTGCTTCGGACCCACTACTTTCGGGCGTAGAGGACTCGGCTGGGGACAGGGCAGAGGACGCAGACAACGACGAGGGCGATGACGTGCCAGAGGAAGAGGATGAGGGTGACACCGACGTATTTACATGTTGCGTATTGGAATCCTTCAATCTTGGACGGCCTACACGGCATTTAGCTGCTGTCACAAGCTCCCATTCTTGTCGTTCGCTTTTACTGAGGCCTTTGATCCAAAGAGCTTTCCGTCTCGTGATTGTCGTCCCTGGGAGTGTTCTGAGGTAACCCTCCCCTTTCGTCCCACTTAATTGAGAGAAGGACTGACTTCGTTCCAGTGTTTTCCCGTTGTCTAGTCTATTACTTCCGGATTTCTTTCCAAAAACCTTGCCACTCACTTTCGTAACTGCGGCCAGAGCATTCAGTTCATCTGTTAGCACCTTGCACAGCTCACAGGCCAAAACTTGCTGCACCTCTAATCCACTGTCGAACAGCGAGTCCAAGACTTTGACAAGAAGAAGCCGAGGTAAAAATATTTTCCCAGACACTTGCTCGGCCATTACATTGTCATCTTCATTTGATGACTGGCCACGAATGTAGCTACGATTCTGCGTTACATTTAAGTTCATTCTTGGCCCGCACACTTTCTGATATTTACTGCCGCCAATTATTGGTATCTCTTGTGTGTACATCAGATCTGAATGATTGGTAATAGTCAAAGCAGGAATTTCCTCTGGTTTTCGGATATTTTGGTTTCCATAATGTGTGCGTTGCATATGCGGAAGCTCTGTCATATCGTTGCCACATGGTTCATGCCCTTGTCGCACGGCTTCAATGTTCTCATTTTCTCTGGATACATATTGAGTGAGACTTTCCATCCTGTGTTGTGCAAAAAACGATATTGTACAATAAGAAAGGTTGCGTTTGCCCGTATCTTGCATTAGAGAAAGGTCTTCAGCAATTTGAAAAAAGGACTCATCGGTTGATATACAGTTCGGTTCCATCTGTGTCGAAAAAGCTTTTAGCGCTGCAAAATACACGGTGTATTCTTATTTGATGCAAGGGCATACCTCATGCGCCGCTCGAATGTCGAGGAAAGTAAAACAGATGACAGTAGGCGTTTAATGCGGACATGAATCATCTCATGTAGTGGACATGGGTCTTTTTCAATCGAAACGCAGGTCATGAGCTACAACACAGGTCATGAGCTACAGCACATCAAAGGGTGTAATAAGAGAAGAAAGCTATACCTATCCATGTACTAGAGCGGATTTTCTTTCGCAATGTACATGGCGACATACTAGATTGTCCTGAGTCCGCTAGTAACGGGCGGAGTCGGGCAAAAAATTTAAAAGTTCAAATGCAACAGTCGTTTGTCGACTGATGGAACGCCGCTACTAGCGACTACATGCTGTTCCATGAAGATCCAAGATCCAAGTGGAACGAAAATTGATTTCCACATTCCACAATGTGTTACATGCAATGTTGTGTCTTACATAAGTTACCTTTTTACCCATTTACATTACATTTACCCAAAAGGGATAGACTAATTACGATAAAAATCGTAGTACGTACTGAATTCGAGCTCCCCGCGCAACACTCTATTCACTATGCATTCAGCGCCTTTTAAGACATTTTTTAATGCATCTTTGTGGGGAATGATTTTAACAATGCTATTAGACACTGCTCATGCAGCTTTAGGTGCCCCCCCCTCGCTCCCTACCACGACGGATGACGTTGCCCAACATGAGATATCATTGGTTAACCATGATGGATCAATTTTAGATCAGCTTAACAGCACACTTGGTGGTATCCCATCCAAATGGCACAATTGGCATGATACAATTGTTTGTAAACCTGGTTTTCTGGCATTCCCTTCGAGCATCGAGGAGGTGATACAATTGGTAAAAAGTCATGCATGTGTGCGGGTGGTAGGCTTGGGCCACAGCTTCAATGACTTGACGTGCTCAGACGATTTAATGATGGCGACTCTTCAATTAGACCGCATTCTGGGCTTAGACAAATCTAAAATGACTGTTACCACGCAGGCCGGTGTGAAAACCCGGAACTTGATTGACTGGCTTGCCCGTCGAGGATACGCTCTGCCCACAATTCCCTACTACATCGATCAATCGATTGGGGGGGCCGTTGCGACAGCAACTCATGGTAGCTCAATATTCTGGGGAAGTTTGTCCAGTCTTGTAACAGAAATAAAAATCGTCTTAGCCGATGGCAGCGTGCGCACATTGACGGAAGCGGATGGCGACCTTTTTGCTGCGGCGCGATGCAATGTAGGCGTCTTGGGCGTGGTGGTGGAACTCACCTTTATTATTGTACCAAACAAAATTGTAAGACGCGGGCTAGGGTATGCTTCGGACGCACACTTACTTACTGAACTCAAAAAAGCCGAACATGATTCCTTGGCTTTTGAGCGTGTACATTATTGGTATTCCCCCCCTTTGAAGCTGGCTGCTGTCACGACGGTGGACAACCTTTCCCCCGTTGAGCAGCATGAGGCGAAAGCCATGTCTAGCTTAGGGCGTGAAGCATCAGATTGGTACTACCGTCTTTTCGCCGATAGCCCGCTGGAGAAACCCTTGCAACGGGTGGTACTGGCGAATTATTTAAAGACCCCGTCCGCCAAGGAGGCGGCCACGAATATAATGCTTGGGCACGCCATGAATATACTGCCTGGTACGTACAAATTATCCGATGCCCTACCTGTGCAGCAAGTCTTGGAGACAGACATTCTCCTCTCAGCCTTTGGCCGATATGATCAATACGAATACGCAGTGGCTCTGGACAAGGCCCATGACTGCGTCAAGTCTCTATTTGAGCTCTTCGATCGGAATGTAACCAGTCGGGACGATTTCCGAGTTCCTTTTTGTCTCCGTTTCGTGGGACCCAACCATGAAGGTTTGCTCGGTATGTCTCGTGGAGGGTCACGTTTTTATTTGAATATGGACAACTACGACGTGTACAATCGGCATGGCTTTTCGCAATCCATGCAAGTTATCAAGGATCTTATGGCGTCCGACACTTGCCAAGCCCGCGTGCACTACGGGAAAGCTTCCATCTATTCTCCTGTGAGCGGTGCTTGGACTAAGCGTGATGCGCAGTATGTGAAGGACACGGTGGGCGTGGACATCTTTGAGCGCTTCCTTTCTGCAGCAAAGACCCTGGACCCGTCCGGAAAGTTTGCTGACGGGGTGTTGGTCCCAAAATAACGTGAAATTCTTCAATTTAACAGGGGTTTGTAAGAGGCAGGGGATACATGTGACAAAGGTTTGATGTACGAGGGACAAATGTGGCAAAAAAAGATACCTTACGGGAGACTGTCTCCAAGCGAACTTCAAGTTTTTAATCACACACATTTCTTTAAAAAGTAATGCTACTGATTTGTCCTTCAATAGGCCTCCTTTTCATCGCAATTAATTAACGATGCTCGTTTTTGCTGTGAACCAATTCCTAGAGCACAACATTTGTTAATTTAACTCTACAACCAACATCGAGCACTTTTTGCATCGGACACGCAGAGGTCATACACGGGTAAAATAATTCACTATTCAACCTTGAAAATCTACCTGGTCACCTAGCGTAAAAACATAACCGTATGTACACTGCATGGTCTTATCTAGGTAGCTACCATCCCCCCTGTAGGGTAATGCCACCCTGACCGCCCTGCTCCAGTCTGCTGGTCCATCTCCGCATGCCACATGATTCCTGCTTTCTCTATAACTACAGTACTTTTTGATGGGGAAAGGAGGAAAACAACTCAGCCACTACAACCCAACAGTTTCCCTCCTTTCTGGTCACGCTTCCCGCCGGAACCAGAGGCACCACCGATGGATGATGCTGATAGGATTGGCCAGCATCCACATCGAGCGAGCAATGGTGGGTGCACATCGGGCCCCAAATTATTTCCAAGGTCTCCATTCAATTCTGGAGCAGCGACCGTAAAACCAAGCCCCCGTGTATCCACGACGAACCAGAGTCCGAAGGTGCAGCAAACGGAGGTGAGCGCAGCCACCAAGAATATCCGCCAATCGTACTCATTCAGCTGCGACGTGAAGGTCCATTTGAGACCTTTGGCTACGCCTTGACCTTCAGTAATCACCCCCACAAGGCAAGTACAAATGAGGCTGACGGCGGAGGAAAAGAGAACAGTGGGTCCTGAGACTCGGGGAAGCCAGAGGGCGGAGAGCAGGGGGAAAGTAGAGGTTGCCGTGATGATGTTCATGGCCAGGAAGAGGTCGAGGAGGGCGTAGCTCTGTAATGCGATAACAACAATCTACAGGTGGGGGGCAGCAAAAAAAAACGTGGAAATGAGTCAAGTAAGACGTCTTTAGTGGAACCACCGACAGTCTCTATCAGCAGCACCCTGAACTCGGAGCTCCACCCCCCTTTCCCCCGGGCGTACCGGCGCATTCACAACGAAGACCAATGCTCGCGACCAGGATACAGGTCTATCGACCAAGAGGGAGGAGGAAAGGGTGGAGACGATGGCGTTCTGGAGGGAGTCCACAGCGGACTCATTCATGGTCGTCGACAACACCACCAACAACACCCGCATGACCAGGGCCCCTGCATTCCTCCCCGTCACCGGGTCGGAGAAAGGTACGAAGAAGGCCAAATTGTTGTGGTCGTCGAGTGGAGGCAAGTCCGCCCACAGGCCCACCCAGCCCACGGTCCCGAAGAAGCCGATCACCAGGGTCGTGAGCATGAACCCCAAGAGCGCTCCCTGTCGAAGGCTGCGCTTGTCCTCCGCGGCCCATACCCGTTGCCAAAAGCTTTCTTGATAACACGCAGAGGAGAGGAGGGAGATAGGAAGGGAGAAAATGGAGCTGAACCCCGAGTAATTGATGCCTAAACGCTCCGGCAGGGGCTGGCGCAGGGGTTCGCGAAAGTTGACGACAAGATAGAGCGAGGCAATCAAAATCAAGACCAAAATTAAAGCGGCTTGAAGCTGGTCGGTGAGGAGAGAGATGAGCAGCCCCCCCTTTGCCGTGTAGACAGCCGTCACGAGACCGACCAGGATGATGATGTAGATGCGGGAAGGGCCCCCGACATAGTGCTCGAACAGGTCGCCGATGGCCGTGTACTCACTGATGAGTGCCACAGACATGTTCAGCAGCGACAAGACGATCACAAAGACTTGCACGGGACGGCCGTACGCCCGGTGGGCAAAGTCGTTCAAGGACAGGACGTCCGGGGTGCGCTTGAGGATCTTCCGCCCAAACTCCGAGATGAGCAAGAGAGGCAACCCTGTTGACACCGCGTAGGTAATGATGGAGAGCCACCCCCGAAGGCCGGGTAGGACGCGGGGAGGAAATTGCCCAGGCCCCGATGCTGGAGGCGAAGAAGGACCAGGCGACACGGAGCATGGGCTGCGAGGCCCGCGCCGTGAGGAAGGTGTCGACGTCTCTGGACTGATGGCGCCGTGACATGGTCAGCGCGATTGCCGCGAAACCCACCAGGGTAATGACTGCGCAGACGTAGCTGGCAATCGTGAAGGTCAAATTGGCCGGAGAAGTGGGTGGCGGGCCTGTTGGTGTCAGCGTGGGAGCCATCCTCTTAGCCTGTGGACGACGGGTCACGGTGTCTAGCGTGATTTAATTTTCTCCAACAACCAAATAACGAGACACATGCGCGCGCAGAGACGTGTGGTTGTTCGAGCTCAAAAAAATTGCCGGGCCTGCTGATAAATCCAGGGTATAAACCAACAGGATTACTCAGGCGGGACGTACAAGCTCGGGGCTAAAATGTCCCGTGAGGCCATGAATACTACAGCCACGTACCTGGGAAACGACACTCGGCAGGCGCTTGACACCCGGAGCCTCCCTCCTCGTCCCTTCACGCTGAATCAAATGCTGCCCTGCGCTTTCTGTGCATAGAGGACGAAGTCAGTGGCCTCCTCGGGGGAGCAAAGGAGAGACCGGGGCGGGAGGCAAGGGCTCTTCGGCGTATCCGGCCCGCATGCCCTAGTTTTAGGCCTTAAGGGCTCAGGGTTGTCCTCCTCTTGATTAATAGAGTCTTTATTCGCCCAAGCGTGCATGTAAGTGTTCTCTACCCTCGTGGGATGCCAATGTCCGGACTTGCTGCCCTATTCATAGTCCTTATTGACGTGCACACTGCCCACCTCCCCGCTTTATCCTTCTTCCAGGCAAAGGCTCACCCGTACTCGTTTCCGACAAGCGCTGTAAAGATGCTGGAAAAACTGACAGCGGGGTGGGAGACGAGCACAGTCTCAGATTTGAAGGACTTGTTGGAAGAAGCCCGTCAATCGAAATTCGATTTTGTGACCATCCCCCTTGTCCATCCACGCTTCGAGAGGGATCATTTGGGTGTCAGCGACGGTCGGATGGGAACTCTGACAAGAAGCGACATGGAAGTAGACAGCCGCACGTGGACGACCTGCGTCGTGGGCAAAGTGTCAGAGTGGCTTGACCCCTCCAGCCCAGATGAGACTGTGCGACTGGCGGCGGAAGCGGGCATGAAGCAGGAGCTGGCGTGGGCTTCACATTTAGCCGTCCCGGCGGTACTGATGCCCCGGCCTCCTCGAACTGAGTGTGCGAACTACGCCCGTTTGCTGAACCAAGTGCTATCACAGCCTACAATGTTGCAGCTGTGGGTGCGCGTTTCCTTGTCGCGGCCCTCGGTGGCGGATGACTCGGATGAGGAGGAGGGGGAGGGCGAGGAGGAGGAGGTTCAGGCGACGGAGGAGGACGGGTCCCCAAGGTCCAGTAAAGGTCGCGACCTGGGACGTGTAAGCTTCGAGAAGGAAGCTAGCAGGGCGGAAGGGGAGTTTGTAGGAAGTGCGTGCACCTCGACATGCGCACTGGGCAAGGCGGGCGGCAAGCGCCGGCGTCCGGGCCCACAGGCCTTGCCAGGTCCAGGCCTCGTCCCCACGGGGCAGGTGTCGCCCCGCGAGAATCCTTGGGAGACCTGGAATCGTCTGCGGACCCTGTGCGAGTTCAAATCCTCCCTGGGCGTGGCCCTGGAGCTGACTGGCGATCTCCCTGACCCCCACGTCCTGCAACGCTGGCACGGCGAGCCCGTCAAGGCCCTGGTCTTCCCCACCGCCATCTTCCTCACCAACAAGAAGGGCTACCCGGTCCTGAGCAAAGCGCACCAGGCTTTCGTCGTGGACATGTACCGCTTTAAGATCCAAGTCCTCCTACGAGGGCGGACCCGGCACCCGGGGGGGTACCCTGTCTATCTCCAGTACCTGGAGCACCTGCGCCTAAAGCTCTTTCCCCTCCCCGAGCAGGACCGCTTCGAGAGCCCATACTACGACTTTCTCCAGGCCCCCCTCCAGCCGCTGATGGACAACCTGGAGAGTCAGACCTACGAGACCTTCGAGAAGGACCCGGTCAAGTACGCCCAGTACGAGGAGGCCGTGGCCGCCGCCTTGGCCGTGACTGCCCCCACGACCGTCACCGTCATCATGGTGGTGGGCGCGGGGCGGGGTCCCCTCGTGCGCGCCTCTCTGGCCGCGGCCCGGCGCGCCCATCGAGACGTGCGCGTGTACGCCGTGGAGAAGAACCCGAACGCGGTGGTCACGCTCAGGAACCTGGTGGCGATGGAGGGCTGGACGAATGTGACGGTGGTGGCCACGGACATGCGCACCTGGGTCGCCCCGGAGAAGGCGGACATCTTGGTCAGCGAGCTCTTGGGCTCCTTTGGAGACAACGAGCTCTCGCCCGAATGCCTGGACGGGGCGCAGGCCTTCTTGAAGGACGGCTCGGGAATCTCCATCCCCTGCCAGTACACCTCCTACCTCGCCCCCATCTCTTCCTCGAAGCTTTGGAACGAGGTGCACTCGTACAAGGACCTTAAGCACATGGAAACGGCATACGTGGTCAAGCTGCACAATTTTTGTCAGCTTGCTCCCGCACAGCCCTGCTTCACCTTCGCCCACCCAAACCGCGCCGCACGCATTGATAACACTCGTTATACCTGCCTTCGCTTCCCAGCGCCCATGGCTGCAACCATCCATGGTTTTGCAGGGTACTTCGAGGCGCAACTGTACAAAGACATCTACATCTCCATCGTGCCACAGACCTTCTCCACAGGCATGTTCTCCTGGTTTCCCCTCTACTTCCCGTTGAGGACACCGGCCTACGCTCCTGAGGCCTCCACTGTGGAAGTTCATTTATGGCGGAACGCGAACGAGCGGCGTGTTTGGTACGAGTGGGCACTAACGAGTCCTGTAACGACGCCAATCCACAATCCCAACGGGCGGTCTTATTGGATTGGTCTCTAATGTATTTTCGAGAGGTGGCGAAAAGTCTCGAATAGTGGTGGTAAGAGCAGCAACAACAAATTGTTTACGAGGTATGCGGAAGCTATTTTACCAAACAGATGGCAGAAATCTAAAAATAAAAAGAAATTTTCCGACCCAGTGCGACCGACTCGTTCATAAGGTTACGATACATTCCGTCCTTTTATTTTCGAAAAAATGTGAAATATATGCTGTTCAGCTTCTGGAGAAAGTGATGTGCTTGCCAGCAAATTACTCTGCGTGGTAATTTTTTCAAATGAAAGAGCACCGAGACTTTCGACACAGCAAGAAATGCAGCACCTTGCTACATGATGGAGGAGGTAAAGCCTGCCATTGAAGTAAATGCCAGGTTAAGATTGTTTTAGTCATTTTTGTTCATTAAGTATAAAGAGCATGACAATGTTGAAAGTAAGACGTTTCTGACGGTCATTTTGACGTTTTTACTTGTCGCAAATGCGGCCATACGCTCCCGCACGTGGGCCATCGCATTTTTCCTTGTGATGGAAGAGGGACCTTCATTTTCCTCCTGCTTGGGACTAGTGACCCGACACACAACTTGTAAGTTGCCCACGGAAAAAGCTAAGGAAGAGATGTCTTGCGTGCGCGCCTGGTAAATTCCTCACATATTTTGTCATCCTTTCGACGGTAGCCGTCAGGTCTCATTATAGTAAAGTGGTTCGAGGGTGGGCCGGCGATGCACTGTAATCGCAAAACTTCATGAAGGTGAAGATAAAAAGGTGCGTCTTTACTTCCACGAATTATCGCGGTGTTGCGAAAAGCTCATCTGTAGTTGGCAAACAAATTTTATTTATCAACATTAGTAAAAATGTTTAATTTTTGTAATTGCGCTGACTTATACGGACGACCTCTCGTTCCTGGCAGATGGCATGCTGTTGCCACATGGCAATGGGACGTGAATGATGAGCGCTGCGGCATTTGTTACACGGCGTTCGAAGCCTGCTGTCCGGATTGTCATATTCCAGGGGATGATTGTCCACCAGTGTGGGGGCGCTGCAATCACGCCTTCCACATGCATTGCATAATGAAGGTAGGAACCCTCGGATGGTGGCGACGACATGGAGAGCGTCAGCGGGAGGAATTTAAATTTGCTTCGATTGACTTTAAAAACCAGTGTGAGACTGCTGGTTGAATCTTTCGACACAAGAAAAAAAAATGGGGGGGACGTGATGTGTTGTGATATTGAGCGTCATGAAGAACCTCTACGCGGTGCCTTTATCAACCTGTCCTTCCTTTCCCAACAACTCTCAGTGGCTGAACAGCCAGCAGAACGCGAACAAACAGACATGCCCGGCCTGCCGACAAAAATGGGAGTTCCGCGCGTGAGCGTGCACTGCCTTCTCATGCGCTTCCGACAGCAATCAAGTCGAAGAGATCTGTTATCACTTTGTGTGAATGTACATACCCCGACTGAGGGAAGCTTTAATGAAAGCTTAAGTTAAGTGATAAATTGCGGTGTGGTGAGAGTGGGCGCACGTCTCAATCTCCCGACCGCTGCCCGAGCGAAATTGGAACGTCAAATAAAGCATCAGACTATGTTCCGGTTTTGCAGGGAAAAGAGTTCAATTGTTCATCTTACATGTCTATTGTACATGCCGCTTGCGTTGCCCATGCATTACTTTAAACGGACCCGTACCGCGACGCTCCTACTGCGTTCCCATCGGTCGGCTTTCCTCCCAGAGCTGCCTGCCTCCTCATCCCCTCCCCCCAGGCTCCCCCCGTCCCCGCCGTGGACGGGTCCCACACCGGCTGCCGCATGAAATAGTAAAAACCCAGCAAGAGGATCAGAAGCGCCACCAATCCCACCGCAACCCGCCTCGCCTCGGTTGAAAGCAAGGAGGCGATAGGGTCATCGTCCGTGTCTGCCCCCGAGGCTCCCTTCCTCCCCGTCCCCCTCTTCCCCTTTCCCTCCTCTCCTTTCTTCGGCTCCTGTCCTCCGATGACACCGTCCTTCTTCCCCTCCATCATCCTCTGTGCCTGCAGCCAGGCCGTGGCGTTCCCTCCGTAGGCACCCAAAGGAATGGAGGGCGCAAGGGCCAGCCCACACACCCCCGCGCCCGTGGCCCCGCACAGCACTCCCTCTCCCTCCCGAGCACCCCCTTTTCCCACAGCCCCTGGGCCTGTCTCCCACCGCCGGATCCGCACAAAGCCGTCTTCCCCCCAGGCTTGCCCCCACGAATTCTTGCACTTCCAGTAGGGCACGCCTGTCTTCGCGTCCCGCCCGTACCCAACCACCACCAAGGCGTGGTTCAAAACCGTGGCCCCGCCCTCCCGTCTCCCGCACGCCTCGTCGTCGTAGATGCCCCCCGCGTAGAATAAGAAGGAAGGATGCTGACCCGCTATGCCCACGGCCACGGGCTGCCGCGCCACCGCCTCCAGCAGCCCGGCCTCGTCGCAGGCAGGCAGCACACGGTAGCCCGTAATCGCAGAGACGGCTTCCTGCCTCCGCGCCTCGCACGCCTGTTCCTCCCCGCGGTACGGGTAGACTTGGGCGGGTGCCAGCCCATGCTTCTTCACCCAGGCGTAGGACTGGATCGGATTCCCCCCCAGACAGCCTGCGTTCCACGCCACGTCGCAGTCCAGCAACTCCTGCGCCGAGAGAGGGGTGACGGGGGAGCGGGTGGAGATGGCCACGGCGGATTCCACCACGGACGCGCTGACCAGCGACCAACATCCGCCGCAGCGACCTTGGTTGACGGGTGGCGACACGACGCTGCGGCCCGTCGGATTGAGGGAGGGAAGGCTCCAGTCGAGGTGGGTGGGAAGGGCGGGCGGAGGGCGCGGGGGAGGCAGGAGGTGCGAAAAGGGAGGGAAGAGGCGGAGGAAAGACAATGGATCGTTCCCGGGCACGGAGCTTGTGCCTGTTCCTCCTGGGTGTGGACGGGTGTTGGGGCCCGACAATGTGCCGGGAGGGTCAAGGCCGGCGGGGAAAGCATCGAGGGCGGTGTGTGCGGGCACGGGCTCCCGCTCGTCTCTGACAAAGGCGCCGTCTCGCTCTCGCCAAGCGGCAGTGCTATCTTCTTCTTGCACCCTCAGACCTCCTCTTCCTTGGTTCCGTGCCTGGCTTTGCCCCGGAAATTCGAATGCCCGGGCCCACGAGACAGACGAGGCCGAGAAATGCGCTTGGATTTCTTCCGGACTCCAGTCACTGAAATGCGAGTGTCCGACCGTGAAGGATGGCGCAGAAGGAGGCGTGGAGGAAGAGGAGGGAGAGGAAAAGGCACGGAGATATGCGTCTGTTCGACCAAAGTGGCTGAAAGCCGCCTCTTTGTCGAGGGTGCTCGCGAAAGTCTAATTCAAGTGGGGCGTGAGTTAATATTGAGTCCGGAACAATAGAAAACCACAAGTGTGATACGACAAAGTCAACCATCAGACATCAGCTCTTCGTATTTTCACACCAAAAAGCAAGAAAATGACGCGGTGAATCTTGCTCTCAGTGCCTTCCTCACGCACCTTGTTGAATTCCCTTACGTACATCTCATACCGTTCCCACAAAAGTGCGCCCTCACGATCTCCTTCAATAATAGATGTGGCCGCACTACGTGGCGGCATCCCAACACTCAGTAGCATAAACTGTGTTATAAATATTGTGAGGGGGCGCAGCATCGATCGCAGAGAGGAATAGCGGCGACGGCCGAAAATCATAAAATGGCCTCCTCTCCCAGCATTGCCTGTTTTGTGCGCACATGAGGAGAAGGATGTTGATTAAAATTGCTTGAAAAATGCCGACGCACGAAGACAGTGTAACTGTATGCTAAAAGGGCAAATATGTCCGACAGACATCGACAGAGGAGAAGACGGCATGCACCAGAAAGCGACGCTCGCTGGCACGGCCACTAGAAGGATCCAAATATACAAAGGAGAGGAGGTTGAGCACTACTTGTCGAAAGGAGATCCATACTTTGATAGCGGCCCGGCAGAGATTGAATTTTAAGAGCATCTAGCTATACTCGATCTTACGACAAAAACAAAACTTAGCATTGGGCTTGCTTTGGTGATTCATGGCAAAAACCTTGGACGGCACGAGCAGCAATCAAAAAGGCCTTGTAAACATAAGTTAAAAAGTATTGGCGTGCTAGAGTACATATCTCGTGTTTCAACCTCCTTCGTTTTAAAAATCGATAGAAATCAGTTTCCTCTATGGAAAAAAAGACGGTGAGGTTCGTCCCGTAAATTGAATGCGTACAACTAGGAGTACACCGTCATTTCAAATGCAATACCAGAGGAATTCTTACCCTTTAAAAAAATGTGAAGTGTATTATTTTTTCCATGGTTGAATGAGAACCTTTCGGGTAGATATCTTGAATTATCTTTTCAAAGTGATTGCTTTGCATGGAAGCGTGGGCAGCCATAGATGCTCGAAAAGTTGAGTTGAAGCCGGTTCACCTGGTCAGCCTTCGAAGACCATTTCTGACCATATCACCGCATACCATACTGTATGACACATTTTCCGTAGGATGGCTGAGTCCTTGTTTACTAAGTGTGCCCTTTCATGTTCTCGGACCTCCGCACGCATTGAAAATTTAAGTGATGCTTTTGCTGAAGGGGCGCCTAGGTCAATGAAATTCTCGCAAAATTCGCCACGTTATTGACGACTGAATGAAATTCTCGCAAAATTCGCCACATTATTGACGACTGAGCTCTCGGAAAAACGAAAAATATTTGTCAAATACGTACGGCACCAATTAAAGCCGTGAATCTGGCTGTTGGTTTGGAAAGGCGCACACGGCCCTTGTCTCGATGGCTTTGTAACCCGAAAAGAAAAAGACGTGCTACACGTTACAAGGTGGCACATTTCTCATGTGCAGTACCACTTCCTGGAAGGTAGCTAGATAGCTAGATGGGTACTTAGGGTTGCTTTGTGTACATGCACTTCTTTTAGAGATTCTAAACAAAGCACCAATTAAGATTGAAGTTTTAAAATTATTACGTTGGTGTATTTTATCACAATTCGACGTGGTTTGTGGGGAGGAATTAGGGAGATCGTCTGTACGTTTCTCAATTTACGATGGAAAAACTTAGTCGCCTTCACTAGCAGAAGTAGGTTTAAAATGTAATGCAACACTTCTCAAGAGCATTCCCTCCGTGTCTCTTACCTTGGCCTCTTG